ATAACGAAGGTCGAGATTTCTTGCATAATTACATGTGATTCGGGCCCTTATTGTTAGAATTTTATCACATGTATTCGAATCTACAACGCTAAGAAAAAAAATCATGATCACGCGAAAAATTGATTCAAAAAGCTCCGTTACCTTAAGTTCATAGCCACTCTGTGTCCTACGGCCGGTTTAAACGCCGTTTAGTCGACTTTCATTCCATCAAGTACTGAACACTATAAAAGAAGGGAATCATGATAACGCGAAATATTGATTCAAAAAGCTCCCTTAGAGGGTCTGAATGGGGGGGTCCATTTGTTGGTTGTCGGTTAAAATTCAGTTACTTTGTCGGTAGTCGGTTAAAATTTTCGATCTTTGTCGGTAGTCGGTTAAACTTTTTGATTTTGTCGGTTGTCGGAAAATCTCAGTTGATAAGTAAAAACGCTTGTTAATAATTAACATGTTTATGTATTTCACCCAGTTTCAAGACTTTGATCCGTAAGGAAAGAGTAAAACTTGTAAGAATGCATCATTTGATTGAACTTCATTAACTATTGTTTGTTTATGCAACATGATCGTTTATTTCACCATTGTGTGCCAAATGAATATCATGAGTACTGATAAAATCACCAAACCTTTTATTGTAAATGCGAACTTGGTTTCCCTGTCGATTACAGGGCACAGTAAAAAGCAATTAATTAATTAATGGACTCCAGCCTTTTGGATACTGGCTTAAAAAATTCTTAGTGAAAAACTGCAAGGGGTGACAGGCTGCACATCTATACCTCTAATGTTTTGGCTCTAACAAGCATGTCCTTTGCCATAATTTTCCTTTCTCAAAGAAATAACACTTTAACCCTCGGACGTACAAGGGGTGGGGGGTTGAAAACAACCCCCCTCCCCCTTTAGGTTTTTCTGGGATTTTTCCAAGAGGATAAAACATCAGCACCTGACGTTTTCAGTAGATGTTTGTTTATTCCTCGCACGTATTTTGAGTCAAGTTCAGTGATGATCAGTTTCTATGGTTACGAGGTATGACGTAATAAGTAGCAGGTGGTCAAGCCATTTTGAGTGAGAATGTATGTCTCTTTTTCAACTTTTTTCAACAATAAAAGAAAAATCTTGCAGCCAAAATCATGCAAAGTGCTTATTTATGTGTTATTATTCATGTCAAGCAATTACCATTTCTGGCGGTTTTAACCTGATTTCTAATTCTTGGTAAATCAAGATGGCGGCAAAGATGGCGACCATTGTTGGTGACATAACAGGCCTCCAGCAGTGCCATCATTCATAAAATATACCTCGTCTTGTTAAGAAGATCAAAGGCTTTTCAGTTAAGGCAAAACCAAAAACTCTGGGGAGGGGCTCCATCTACCCTCCTCTTGTACCATGGCGGGGGGTATGATTTTGTGTGTACGTCCGAGGGTTAATTTGGCAAGGTAGTGTTTGGTTTTGTATGAGATTACACTTTTTCATTAAAGCTTCTTTCATAATAGACACTGAACGGCTTGTATTGTGTCACGAAAGACAATATTTCTTTTTCTTCCTTGTTGTTTTGTTTCAGGAGCGCTGTTTTCTTTCTGTGAGTTTTACTTCTAATAGCAATTTTTATTTCAAAATTGTGTGGCCAGCCTCTGTCCATCAACCGCTTTTTGAAATCTGAAATACTTCCTCAGAGGAGTTTGTTCCTAGGATAATCAAGGCTTCGTGTTTGTCAAATCCATTTTAACAATTGGTGGGTGGTAAGAGGTGAAAATGTATATACTGGAAGGTTTCCGTTTAAAATGCGTCTTTACGTCAATGATAGCTTTTTCTCATTTTTCGTTGAATGTTGTGCCTTGGTATACAACCTGGTCTAAAAAGATTGTCTTAGTGTCAGATATTTCGGCCGTTCATTTTATTGCCAGTAGAGCGGTAGGGTGAAGTAAGTTTACTTGATCCGTGAATTTGAAGAAATCTACCATGTCTGGTTTACCTATGTCCCATAGGGAAAAAGTATCATCTGTATAGCTTTTTCAAACAGTTGGTTTAAAGACCGTTTTGCTTAACTTTGTGTTTCAATGTATGCGGCCATGAAAATGTTGGAAAGAAAACTGCTGTATGTGCTCATCGCGGTACCGTGGTTTTTTTTACTACATATTGTGCTTTTCATTAAGCTGGAAAGAATTTTCTTTGAGGATTATCCTAAGCATTTTTCGGATCGAAACAAGAAACGCTCAGTTTTTTCACCTTTGTCTTTTCAATTCAAAGTAGACAGACTGCAAATTATCTTAGCTGCTAAAAAATATATATCTACGTGTCGCAACTGTTCATAAACCAGGATGCCTAAGATGCGTGCAATTCCACAATTGGTTTCGGCTCCATTAAATCCTATACCAATCGAAGAACATTTTAGGAGGAGCCACCCACCATGTGAGCACTGTTAAAATTTATAAAGTCGGTAGCATCTTTAAGGTGTGGTTTCTGTGATTATGACATTAGTTGTAGTAATGTACCCGTATCAACAAAAGAGGAAGTTCTTTCTGTTAGACCATCTAATGACTCATAAATTTAAAGAGGTTACTTCCTAACGGCTAGGAAAAAAAAAATGCAAAATGCCCTTTTTTTCTGCAAACAAATATTGATAATGTCAGCCTAAGTCGGTAGTCGGTTAATATTTTTCCTGTCGGTAGTCGGTAATTTTTTACTCGTTTTGTCGGTAGTCAGTATTAGTTTTCGCCCTTTGTCGCTAGTCGGTTAACCCCATTCACACCCGCCCCTTACCTTTGGTTCATAGCCACTCTGTGTCCTACGGCCGGTTTAAACGCCGTTTAGTCGACTTTCTTTCCATCGAGTACTGAACACTATAAAAGAATAATGTAATCTGTTCCGAAAAGCAAACATTGCCTGAAATTTTCTATTATTTGAGGACGGCTACAAATTTCTAGGTGACTGTTCCATTTATCCGAAGCTTACCTAATAAATTCCCACGATTTTTTGAAGTTTAATTCTTCACATTTGACTACCCAAGTTTCTCTATTTTTCGTAGTAAAAAGAAAACGTACAATTCTCGGATTAAAAAATGCGTTGGAGAGAGGAATTAGAAAAATTCTCACTTTCGCAAAGCGTTAAATTGCAAGTAAAATTTTCGGGAAAGTAATACTGAAGCCCTAATGATTTCGAAAAGACTCGAGTTGCCCTTGGACGACCGAACAGATTGTGTGCAGGTTTGTGTTAGTTAATGAATGTTTGGATCGATTTAGGTTTCTGGCAAACTGCCCAACTACCCCTCCCCTAAGCTAACATTAACACTCACTTCTCGCTTAGGGCAAAATGATGGCTTAGGGGAGGAGTAGGTGGGCAGTTTCCCAGAAACCGAAATTGCGAATGTTTGATGAAATGAATAATTTCCATTTTTATTCTTTACTTTTTTACGTGATAGATGTGTCACCCACAGGGACCCTGGACTGTGAAATAAGTGCACAGAAATGTCAACCTCCTCTGGAGACAAAAACCCGCACAGTAACACCAAAAGACCATAAAGTGACTTTCGACTGCTCGATTAAGAATGGGGGAAAAGTACAAGACATGACCTGGCAGGACCTTGAAAGAAACCTCAGTGCCAATAACGGTCTATTCTTACATCAAAACAATGCAAAGGATAAAAATCTGTCACGTGAATGTTTTTCAATAAAATATGCCAGTAAGTATGTTTTTTTGTATTATAGTGAATTACTTTTTTTGTCTTATTTTTAAATGGATTTAATCCGTGACGAATCCCATGAGGGCCTCGTAACAGGTTTGGGCAGATTCAAGCTCAGCTGAGGCAATTTTTACGGTTGAATTGAGCGTAAAAACTGTTGAAGTTATAGCCAGCTAAATCACCTCACTTAAACATGGTTCACCGCGAAACTCTAGTTGCTCATGCCATGCTTGAGGGCAAGAAAAGCAAAGGGACATGACAAACAATAAACAAAGGAATCATTTCCAATGATGTTAGCTTTTTGTTTGGCTTGACTCAGTGCGCAGGGCCTCGCTCTCCAGCATGGCAGGTTTGTGCCAAAAAAATGACTAACTGCAAAGGGCCTATTCAACATGAACAAGGCATGGAGTAAAACATGGTTGGTCCGTTTGACTGTAGGTATCTTAAAAATCGTGAGCTAAGCAACGACGATGACGACGGCAGTGAAAATGTCGCTAAAAAACTAAATTTGCCTCATTTCAAATGTTATCGCGTCTATTTGGAGCTGCTTAATTTGTCAAATGTAGGCGATTTCTCTTGGAGTTGAATTCCTAAGGACTTTATCCAGGTTCAGAAAGGAAAAGGAGAATTCGTCGTCGTATGTTCACTTTCTCTATAAAACGTCGCTTTAGGAGGTTTCACTTCATAGTCGTGCGGTGAACGTCAAAGCAATGTACTAAGAAGCTTATTGTTATTATTGTATATGTCATTGATGCACGTGCAGTAACTGTTGTTTTCATGTTAAAACTAATTGTTTTTTGACGTTGTCGTCGTGGTGGTTAAGATTTTCACATTTCAGATTTTGGTATTTTTTTGCACTAATTCAAGAGGTTGCTATAAAAATTACAAATATATTACAAAAACAAGAAGAAAAAAAACCCAGCAAATTACATAATCCTGATCGAATTAAAGGTGAAATGTGTGCAGTGGCCAAAGGAGCTTAGGCTTTCGAGCTGGTCACTTAATTAAGCTTCCTAGCTTAAATGACTGGGTGCATGACTTACGAGCTTTGAAATTAAGACGAAGAATTCCTTCTCAGTTCCAGTTAAGAGAGTATCGAAGACAAGTTCTCCCGTTGTCTACCATCCTGACACGAGAGAAATGGAACTGAAGTGTACCTTCAAGGGATGGCCTCGTCCTCGTGTAGTTTGGTACAATCCAGATAACAAACAAATCATCAACGGATCTGAAGGTTTTTACATCTCAGAGCAGCTGGATCGAAAAGATATTAACTTCCCTTCTCCGCACTGCTAATATCCAAGAAAAACAAGCAGGGGATTATCAATGCACTGGAATGAACAACATTACCGGCTGGTCGACTAAAAAATCAGGGATAATTGAGCTGAATCATCGCTGTGAGTGATTTTTAAAATTCCTTATTTTTTTTTATAAACACCGATGCACAAAAACCACCTTAGATAATGATAATGCCGTGTTTGCCCTGTAAGCAATAGAAAGTATCCCATTTAGACCAAGAGGGACAGCTCACTCTCTCTGAATTTAAAAGAATATAACTGAAAATTTCGTGCCACCTTCCTCTTCCGTTCAGACAAATTGGACCCTGGAATTTTTATTTGTTTACCCCTCGGGTCGCAAGGGATAAGTAAATAAGTAAGTAAGTAAGTAAATAAATAAATAAATAAATAAATAACGATTTAGTGGCACTAGCTCATCCACAAAGTGGTTCTTTGTCCCCCATTCTGGCTCAAATTTACCCTGCGCAGCTGGCGGGATTAACGTGGGATTGATATGTTGTTTTGGTGGCAATGGCGGAATAAGGGTGAGAAGCAACAAAACTCAACCTGGCCGGCCACATATGATGTTGCCTGAGGAATCAAGCACAGGACAGTCATTAATGAGAGGGGAGGGTTCTCACCTGAAATACAGTAGGACCTCTATATAACAAAGTCCTCGGTATAATTAACAATTATTACATGAGTGTGCGTTGGATGTGAGATGGTAGCCGCGAGTGGAATAATTGTTCTATTAAAAACGCCCACAAACATCGAGAATTCGTCCCGACTTTATTTGTAAAAACAACGCATACAGTTACCATATTTGGAGAGCATGGTATAATTAACAATTGATGAGTGAGGCTGAGTATGGAGATCGAGGAGGGTGTTATCCGTCGAGACCGTAGGCCGAGGCGGATAACACCCTCCGAGATCTCCATAATTCTTCATATGATACGAAAGCCGAATTCAATAATTGTTTTATTTATTATTCATTCAAAATAATTCCTAGTTTAAAAACATGACTAAAACATGCTTACCTCTATCGATGTTAAGTTCATCCTCGACAGTGCACGTTTAGGGTTGTTCAGCTCAGCAAATATTCTCCAAATAGCATGCGCAGATGTCGCCCTTCGAGTTGTCGTCTTGCTGTTCTTGCCATGTTTTTAGCTATTTTTTTGCCTAGTTCTTGCTTTTGAAATGAGTGAAATGTCTTTCATTTTGTTTTCACAACCAAAACAACTTAACCTTGTCCCCAGGTCTTCTCGGTTAAAGGTCAATAGCTGGTTATTGCGAATTATGCGTGTACTTTTAGCCAATCAGAATCGGGGAAATATTTTGAATGATTAATAATGAGTCATATACCATGATGTCTAAGCCAATCAGAGCACTAGAATTGCATTATCCAATGATTCAATTAGTAAGCGATACTCTCCACCCCAGAAATAATACAGTCAAACCCCGTAAATCCCGACACTGAAGGGGCCGCACTAAGAAAGAGTCCCTGTTAACGGGGTGACCTTATTAATCGGGTTGAAAATTAAAGGGCTTTCTTTCCCCAGGGACAAAGCGAACTGTCCGTGACAATGAGATGTCTGTGTTGAGCGGGTTTCCAGACTGGGGTTTGACTGTGCAATAAATAAAATGAACCTCGATAAAACAAAACCTCTTTATAGTGAGGATATTTTGCCAGTCCTTTGGGTCTTCGTTCACCTGTTCGTTATTATATATCGAGATTCCAATTTAAACTGTTGTGTGGTTGTTAAAAAGAGAAAACGAGACGCCGTTTAGCTATTGAAATCAACCCTTAGTAGCACAGGCCATATTGGTGGGAGGTAACAGAAATGGGGTTCATCCGATCAACCGATCGTTAGAGCGCCTCTAAAGATGGCGTGACGAAACAAGTCGCAAAGGAGGAAACCAGTGGGATAAACAAAATCAACACGTAAAAAAGTCCAAAGCGTTGTGATGCCCCATATATTGTCACAAATACACAGGAGGGGAGGGTAAGAGTAAGAATGTTACCCCCTACGGTTGCACAAAAAAATGGTAACGATTTTCAAATAATATTTGCTCGTTTTGTCTTCTTATCATCTGATACAGGTTTACGTTCTAAAGCTCCGCAGATTTCTTCTCCCGTGGTTTCGGTGACAGCCTACTTCAATGTCAGTTTAAAGTGCTTAGCATTTGTTAGGCCAAGCGACTGTGGGGACAATTCTTTACGGTGGTATTTTAACAACAACCCAGGGGAATTAAAATCTGGTGAAAAGTATGAAAAACAAGAAAGGAAAACCAACACCAGATGCAAAACAGATTTTATTCTCACCATTGTTAACGTTACTGATGCAGACGAAGGAAAGTATAAATGTGAGTGGCTCTGCGAGAATGACGACCCCAGCTTTTCCAGGTCTTCAATTATCCAGTTGAAAGTATATCCTCCAGAAGAAGGTACTGATACTCCTGTGATATCTAAAGGTCTTGTGTCACGAAATTTATCATTGAATTCAAAAAGTGAAAAACCCCACCAAATTGAGTGAAGCAAGAAAATAACCGCTCAAAACCCCGGGGAGGGGGATGTACTTAGGAAAATGTTTGCTGGGTATATGCTGCTGGCCTCTCAGAGCCCCTACCCCATTATAGTCTACTCTGCGGCCAATTATAGACCCCATCTTAGTCACTTTTGGGCAAATGTGTAATTTTCGCGATCCCAAATTAGTCGCTTTCTATTTTTATGAATTGACCCATTAATTAGATTGAATTAAGAGCACTTTACTTTTCATCTGCAGTACAAACATTCTGGTACGTTTGCTAACCATAAATATGTCTTACCCCAAAAAATCCGAAAATGTGCGACCTCATTATAGTCAATCCAGTCATGAAAATGGGACCCCATCCAGCGGCACATCCCCATTAGCCTCTTATTAGGAAATACCCCATACCCCCCCCTCCCCGGTTCAAAACAGTAATACAGAAAATGCAAAAGGAGTCATGTATGGACAAGCTTGAAGGGTTAAAACTGATTGCAACTGAGTGTTTCATTAGAAACGAAGAATCCAATCCGAAGAATAACTCGCAATTGTATAACAGTAATTTGATCTAATTTCATTCGATCTGAAATCAAATTGTACAAATATATTCTATTCAATGAGTGTAATCAAGACAATAATTGATACATGAAACTAGAAAAAGCGGAATAAATGCCGATAAAAGCTAAACGTTGATACAAGCGAAATCGCGTGGTTCTTGAAAGAAACGAAGTCAATTTAAGTCTGTTTAAATATAAAAATTCCTTGAATAGGTCTTTTACTAAGTTAACACTGAGGTTTTTGGAAATTCAAATAGCCTAAACGTTTTTCAAAATTCATTTTTTTGTCTGTAACTTTTCATATAATGTTTGGGAGACAAATGTGTTTGACATGAAGCAGTGATTTTGTCATTTGCAAGTGATTTCTTAACTTACGCTGAGTTCCATTGAGAATAGGGATATATTTGGCAAAATTATCAAAATGAACCAGCAAACCATGACGTCACAGCCCATTTGTTCTAGTGAGAGGGTACTCCCTTTGAAAGCGAATTGTTTAAAACCATTTGGGTCTGAACCAGGGAAAGGTTTTGCGCCGTTTGGATACAGGGTCTGAGATTATATGTTCGTTCATGAGTTTTTTTATGTTTTTGTTGTTGCTATTGTTTTAAATCATCCGCCTTCAGGTCTGTGAATAGGGAAGGAAAAGTCGTACTCTACCGAAACAGGTAGACAGCGAATTCCATAAATACGTGCACTTGAAATTTCCTTTTAAACGGATAGGGCGATTGGAGGGTAAAGTTTACTTCTGTTTTTGAAATAATTATAGAGTAAATTATAGCTGAAATTTCTACTCGTGCGGCTATTTATTAGTAGGTGCCAGACAGTAACTCTATCGCAATACCCATCAAGGGGACGGCAACTCGTAACACCCTCCTTTATCTGCATGATCGTTTCACATGATACAATAGTCGAATCAGAATCCAGCTTCTGGGTTGAGTAATCAGTATTAGGTTCCAGACCTCTTATATTTTAGGGCATGTTTTGCACATAAGCAGTAGGATTAAAAGAATGACTGGCAAATGGTTCTTTTTGTGTTGCTGTTTAAGACCAGAATATTACAATTTTGTCGACGAGGATGGCGCTTGTAGATCGAGTTGGAGAGTATGTGGACGGTAAAGAAGATATTGCAAGTTATATCGAAAGAGTGGAATGTATTTTGCGGCGAATTATGTCAAGGCGGATTTCAAAGTTGCTAAGTTTCTAGCGTTTATCGTAGCAGATGCATATCGCGTGCTGGGAAAATTGTTAGCCACTGAACGTCAAAAATATAAGTCTTTTGTGCAATAGTATGAAAAGCGGACTGAACGATTTGGAAACCCAGCTCTAATTTCAAAGTCACTGATCAATAAGTTGCTGGAGATATCAGCAGATCAGGATGAAAACAATTTGACAGCTCGCGCAACATTGTGAGAACATTTATGGAGCAGGCTTTAGACCAGCAACTAATATGCAGCAGATTGTTGCAAAGCTACCTCCAAAAATTGCCGTAAGGTGAACCAGGCAAAAGTTAAAGCTACAGCCCAAATAAGTTGACCTTAGCGACCTAGATGAGTGGCTGAAACCGAGAGTCAAGTCAAAGTGATAGCCTTTGGTTGCTCCAGTAATATAGAGAATCCTGAACAAGAGAAACCCAAGTCAAATTCAAATAAATCGAAGTGGCTCAGGAGAAAGAACATGCGAAGACTCATGAAATGTTTTGTGAGCTAAGAAAACCATGTACTGACATTGTATGAAACCTGCAAGAATCAACTGTAAGTAAACGATGGTAATTATAAGAGAAGTTGGGTTTGTGCTTTAGATGCCACAGTAGAGGACATCGTGGGCTGAGACATTCCAATCCTCGCAGGAAGCCACAGGAGAGACGTCATCACATGGAGTACCAACTAATCACACGAGCTGTTGAGGTTCTGAAGACTTGAACCGTTAAGTGTACAACACCCCGAAAGGGTTGCGCTGCAGATGATACCCACCACGGTATCTGGGTCTGGGTCTGGGTCGTCCTTCCTCAAGAGGAGATCGCTGACATACTGGGTTTGTACGCACTCTGTGTTGCTGCTTTTGGAGTGAAGTCGAATGTAGCGGATAGCAAAACTGTAACTGTCCGCCAGCCTTGAGGGTATGAATTGGAGCAACAAGAAGCAATTATTTTTTGTGGAAATTTGTGAAATGAAAGCAATTTATTTGTCCGTCAATGCAAGAAATTAGATCATAATCGCGACCTGTAGATCATAAAGCCAGTTCCACATATGGAAGTTGATTGAGAAGTGATTATTATGAGGAACTCATTTTGTCACTTGAATATCGCAAAGGACATCTGGGGAAGCTGGAAGAGTAAAGAAAACCGCTCACATAGACAATAGTTGCAAATGTCTCGGAGGAAGCAAACGAGTGTCATGAGGCTTGCCATGTTTACACATACCATATGACCTTTACTCCAGAAATGAGGGCCGATGAGCTCTTGGCAAGAGAGAAAAGTGTAAGCGTTGGAGATTCCCTTCGAGAGCTGTACACTCTGAACAGACAGTAAGGGCGTCTTTTTCTGGATCCAGAGTCAGTCGAGGAGGTCTTAGACTTCTGTCGCCAACGGAATATTTCACAATTATTCCTCTCGCCCGAATGGGCTCTGAGTCAATAGCCCATGAAGCCGAAGACTATTGACTCAGAGGCCATTTGGGCAAGAGGAATAATTGTTTTAGTAAAATCCAACTAGTTGGTAAAAAAATATCGAGACAAAACAACTTTAGCTAGTGAAACCTAGACTTGAGCTTATGCACCCAATAACACTACTGTGTCCATTGAACGTCGCTGACCAGCCATATTCCTAAAGAGAGGAGCTTAGGATCCGGAGCTCCTTGTAAGCTTCAGGTGATACCCCTGCGTAGGGGACTGGAACTAGTCAAGTAAAAAGTTCCCTGAGCACATGGAAAATTGGCTGTTGTGTGTTCTTGTTTGAACCAGGCTTTGGAACAGAATTTCTCACGCCTAAGAAAATTCAAGAGGAGAGTTTCATACCGCCATGTATGTTTCGAGATTTCCGCAGATATACCACACCATCCAGGGGCTTTACGTTCCTTTACTGCGTTGATGGCATTTAACAGTTCCTTGAATTCATGTTTTTCCTCAAGGCATGCAATGTTTACGGGTCAGCAAATAGAACTATATTAGGAAACGCGTCGGCGAAACAGGTCAGCACGACATCAGTATATGCATTTCCGTGGAATAACTGCTAGTTTGCTCGATTTACGCCCACTCTTTGGTCTGCTCGAATGTTCCTCCCCGAGAAGGGCCTTTGAGGGGCTCATTTCCCAAACAGCGGCTGGTAATCAAGCCTAATTACGAGTCAAAGTTATTCGAACTCAGGGGCTCTAAGCGGTTGAGCTTTTTCGCACTGTTATCAGCGAAACACCTGTAAAACACGTTACATTTAATATTAAATCGGTCTTAGAAATATGTTGATGATATTTTTTACTCGGAAATATGCAGTAAGAATACTAGAAAAAACACTCCATTTGTTAAAAACATGGAATCGTTGGGTAATGACGACGTCCGACGTCTCAGCCCTGAACTCCCCCCAAGTATGAAATGGTTAGGGATGACGTAAAACAGAACTAAATGCCCGAAGGGACAGCTTGGGTTGATTTTGTGACATTTACTGCACTTTTATACTTCTGCTGTTTTGCGTTTCGTCTGTTCAGTGACATTCTGTGAAGCAGCTGTTTTGAAGCTATTAAAAAAATGCAATTTACATTTCTTCGTCTCATTTTCTCTTAAACAAGCGTCATAAACTCTGAACACGAAAGAGAAACTCTCGAGTTTGACCAAAATTATGGACCGAAAGACACTCGGTAAGCGTGGACTTCCGTTTTGAGAGGCGAATAACAGTGTACAAGTAATTGAGGGTTTTTCAGGCGCATGTTAATCATTCACAAATCTTCTTTTGCATTAGCTCTCCCTCACTACATGAAACTCATCCTAATGCAATCGATACAAGTAAATGTTTGATTGGAAACGATTTTACAGACACAAATCACTTTGGGGAAATCATTGAGAGGCTCAGTCTAAAAACAAGCAAGTTGCATTAAGTGAACGCTTGAATCAAGCTAGCTTATTAGCAGAAGGATGCACCATTACAGGAATTTGCCTACAATTCATTTCTGTGCTGACGTATTTCTCTTTACAAATTTCCCTATTCATTTCCAAAATCATTCTCCGGCTGTTAAAATGAATTGCATGTAAAAAGGGCAAGAGGAATAAAGGAAATTACACCTTGCAATAAAATCTTTCCTTATCGTTAAAAGAATTCTTGAAACTGAGAGTGTTTTGATCAAAGCAGCGTAAATCGATTTGAATCAGCGCTTGGAATCTTGCGTTTTCTGTTTCTATCTCCCCAATATGATATCAATATGAATCTGTAAATTTCGAAGAGCTACACAAGAGTCATACAAAGGCAAAGGATAAAATTGACCGACAAAAAAGGGACGTTGTAATGTCAACTACATTAAACACCCACATATATATAAAAACCAACACCGTAACTCATATGTTTACTTATATAAGTAATCATATTTGTTTCTCTTTTTATTTTAAATTTCCCTTTTTTATATCGATGAAAGTAATATGTTGAGAACGTTTCCCCTTTACCAACTTTATTTGCAGATTCCTCGACACCATCGTCACAAAAGACCACTAGGCCAACTTCAACAGGTCAGTGATGTTAAGGGGTAGTCACTAAGTATAGTGTTGCAATGGGACTAATTGCATTGGCGGATCTAGACCTTCCGATAAAGGGGGGGCGGCCATCCAGACCCTTAGATAAGGGGGGGTGGTCTTAAAAATTTTTTTCCGACCTTTCAGGCCTCAGTTTGGTCCAAAAATAACGGGGAGGCCCGCCCCCCCGGGCCCCATTCCCTGGACCCGCCTCTGAATTGCCAACCAAAGCTAAAAATAGTATCCAGATCTTATCGCTTTTCAAATAATACGAAACAGTGGAAGAAAACAGAACCACCCTGAGTCGCTGGACTGTTATGGGAATTCAAAAGCAATTACCAGGTGTCAGTAAAACACAGGGTCGCGGCCGGGGCCGAGGTCGGGGTCTATCTCTTTTTTTTTTAAAGAATAGTGTTTTAGGGTTAGGGTTAGGGTTATGTGAGGGTTAGGGTTAGTGTCAACCCGAATCCTAACGCTAACCCTAAAACAGCATTCTTTAAAAATAAGATAGACCCGGACCCCGGCCCCGACCCCGCGTTTTACTGACACCCGTAATTACCAACGAGTTGCATCGTACTCCAGTCTAAAGACACATTTTGACAAATTAACAAAATATAGTGTATAATCCCGGGTAGGCCCAAAGGTAACCCAGGGCGCTTTCCATTTACGAAAAAAACCCGGAAATTTCGGTGGTAGCTAAAGTGGAATTTCCGATCGGTAAAAAGTTGTTCCATTTGGTCGTAAACCCCGGTACGTGGCCGGGTGCCCGACCGTGGACCTGGAACTGGTACAAACTACATGAAACGTCAATGGAACACGACATTCCGTTCGGAAATTCCAACCGGGAAAACAGGACCACCTTTTTAGATTTTCCACTTTTTCTGGGAATTTTCCAGTGGGACGAACCGACGAAACGTGTTCCATTTACCGCCGAACCGGAAATTCCGGAAATTTTGACTAAATGGAAAGCGCCCCCAGGCTCTGTGATAGTACCACAGTATGGTTCCAGCAAAATTCCCAGGGGGGAACTCAGTATATGAAGGGGGTGGAGATGCTCGTCGGAAATCTTGAATTAAATCCTTAAAGGAGACCGATCTGAGCGTGGGCCAAGCTTTTTTTGATCCCTAAAAGAGGCCATGGATTATTTGAATGGAGTAAATAAAACGAATTAAAAATATACATATCAAATATATATTTTTATATTTTTTCGCGTACAACCCTAAACGAGACCTTCACGGCTAAATATGATGGCGTTTTGCTCAGAACACCCTAAATGAGACCAAAATTAAATTTCCACGCCTAAGTGAGACGACGAGCATCCCCACCAGTTTCATATGCGGAGTTTCCCCCCCACCGGGGTAAAATTACAGTGTTTGTATGGGGTAAAAATACGATCCTAAAATTTCTAGAAAATACTAAATAAAGATCAATGAAACTTACTCTGCAGTTAGTTGTTGTTGTCCTTAATGCTCCAACGACAACGACATTTGAATTTAGGCGCGTGTGCGGGGTTTGCTCTGGCGAATTGTGATTGGCTAGGAAGAACAATTGCCTTCTATCAAGTATTTTTCCAGCAGGGGAGGGTGGCTTTGGGCAAATGATGTCCCAGAAAGGTCACTCCAGGACTCCCGGGATGGATTTTTTTTGTACAGTGCCCAGGCCTCATTATCTTGGCCGCGCGTTGATCTGGCCCTGTTAGATGGCATCTCGTGTCTCCCACCTTGTATATTATTATTGTATATGGAGTCAATTTGAACAAATTATCACAAAACTTCGTTGGAGCATTAAAGACAACAACAATTAACTGCAGAGTAGCGGTTCTAGCAACCTCGAGCAAATTTTGCCTCTCTGAGCAACTTTTGAGCAAAATACAGGTTTAGTAGCCCCTCGGTTTAAAGCACATATCAAACACGAAAAAGTCAACGATTTCATAGAAAACTTCAATGTTTTTAATTTATTTTTTAACTTTTTTTAATTTTTTTTTTCTTGACCGATTGTAGTAATTATTGTGAAGAACGAAAAATAAAGCTTTTAATTAACGTTTATATAAAAATATCAAGAAATTTAGGTGGCAACTTTTCAAACTTAGGTAGCAAGTTTTTGGCATTCCAGTGAGCAACTTTCCATCATTTTACGAGCACAACTGGCAAAGGCCTAATCCCGGGGGATACGCCCTATAATGGCATATACGGGGGGCGCAAAAAGGGGTACTTTTTTCAGGCATTAGATCGATGAAAGGGTAGGGATTTTACTTGTTAAACTACATGAAAGGCTGGTTCTAGCTCAGCGATCGTCGTCGCTACGAACTCTGAAAAGTCAGGTTTCCATATGATCGCTATGATCTGCGATAGCTGAACTTTTTTTTCTCAGCGATCGCAGCAATCAGAGCGAGCGTAGCGATCGTAGCGACCATATGGAAACCAGGTTTTAAGCTCCCTGTTAGTCTGCGTCAGGTCGCAGACGTAATGTACCAGTCAGTAACAAAACTGCCCATGCCCCCGCGCAGACCCCTGGGAATCTGACTTTTTTTTGAAAGGTTTTGGTCAAATTCCCCGGCATGTTGGTAGTTTAGATGGTCAAATAGCCCACCGGCTAGCGCTTCAAAAAGTGTCAAATCCCCCACTCCATTAGCGACTTTCCTTGATCAAAAATTTTCTCCATGCATCAAAGCGTTTATTCAAATCTAAATTTCCTCCCTAAACACAACCTGGGAACGAGTTTGCCGAAATATCTCAAGTCTAGGAAAACTGTCTTACGGAG